TTTCGCGCGAAAACCGCGGTCGACCGGTATATATAATCCGGTTAAAAAGAAATCGACTCACGCGCGCGTTCGGGTAAAGCCCGACATAAATTCACCGAGATAGATTGCACCGGGAGATTCGCGCTTCCTTCGCGCCGTGCAATTAACGCCGCTTCCGGTTGAAACGTAACGAAAAGGCTGCCGCAAGAGTCGCGGCAACGAGAGCGCGCGCGCGCGCGCGCGCGCACGATGACGGTTTACTTACAATAGTAAACTTTACTCAGAGACGGAGTCTCGGGATCTGGTTTTACGAGCGAGCCATTAAAGAGCTCTCACGAGGGTGCTACACGGTTATAACCGGTCGCCGACGAAAGCTCACATCTGCCGCGTGACTGTTACGCTTTGTCGAAACCGACGGCGATAGGTAAAGATAGAGAAGTTGGGCACCTCGTGTTTTAGAATGGTTACGGTTTCTTAACGTTAATTCTAGCGCTCGTATTCTCATCGCGTACTTATATCTGATTCGCGGAGCGCGTCTCTCATCTCCAACGTCGAGCGCGATTTGCATGCCGAGTAAATAGAATTGTTTAGCCTTAAGTGCGACAAGGCCAAGGAGAGATGTACATATACCGGTCTACTTGCAATTCCCGCTTACATTCGGTACCAGAAAATTCGGCGCAATTTTATGTCTCGCTTCAAGAATGGAATATAACAAACGGAATATCTATAAGGACGATTTCGATTGAAAGCTACGAATTTTTTATTTACAGGAAATCATTTCTCTAATATATTTTTTCTTATTTCATACTATTATTTTGAATCTAATACAGAATGTAGAAGATGTATCTAATGATAATGATCGTCGACAGATAAGCATTCACATATGCCTCGTGAAATGAGTGAATATGAAATGAGAAAAAATATATTAGAGAAATGGCTTTTGTAAAGCGTAAAAATACGTAGCCTTGAATCGTTTCTATAGATTCTCTGTATACGATACATTGGATACATCTAATGTGAGACTGTTATTGATTGTTATATGGATTTAGGGGAACTGTGCCTATTATCGCCCTTGTTCTTAAATTTCACACTCTACGATATTGAGTCTGTTACGTGTTGTATTCTGTCGGTAGGCAGTAAAAACTGTTGAACGACGCTACTTTGGACGTTCTTTTGTTTTACTTTAGTCCAAACTGTAATATAAAGCATAGCGTTTGCAGAGCATAGTTCGAACGAGGTTTTGTAATTTTTCAGAAGGTGTCTTGCGTTATTAATATTGCGGCAAAAAAAGGTATGAAAACACATTCATATCATTGAGATCACATTACGACATCCTAGAATAAAATGATAGAGTTACTTACACATTTTTATGGAATTTTTTAAATCGAAATTTTAATTTTATAAAATAAGGCGCAATATTAGGCAGTTCCCCTGTTATCGCGAAAAGAAGTCGGAGCGAATAAATTTCAATTTAATAAATGTATATTTCTACACAAATAAATTAGCATATTTACGATGTGTATTCATTCTAGAAGAGAAATATCTTCGTTCGTCAACCGTTCTAAAATAAAGCCGCATGAATTCGTCACGATGAGTTTCGGAGACACGCATCTGCCGTTAACTGTAGCATTACGAGTCTTTTCCTCGGGAAAGTGAATACACAGTGAGAGTTTAAATACATTATTAAACGCGCCGCTCATCGATCGGTCGACGAGCGTCACTCTCATTCGCCTACGAGCACCGCCGATTTTTTCCTTTCGGAAAGTCCTATTTGCCTGAAACGTATAGGTCAAATTATGTAGGTCGAGGGTTGCGGCGGCGATAAATTTCGACGCAAGGCCGAAAACAGCGTGAAACCTTAACCGTAAACCGGTATCGATCCCGAAACTTTTCGAGATCGCGTGGTATTTCGAAAACACGGCGCGATTACACGTATACATACGCAAATCGGCTTTAATATGAGAAATCCGACACGAGACGATTTCGACGGGCCGCGCGCGCGAATTATCGACTCGTCCTACCTCTCTATTTTCGATCTCCTCTCGTCCGCGTTTATCACCGCGCTATCACGTTACACTTCCCACACATTCAAGGTCCGTCGATTGCGTAAATTGAATATCGCACCGGCGGCTGCTTGCCCGCGCTTAGTCACACCGCAGCCTACTTTTCCCGGCGCGAACTTAAAAAAACGTGAAGCACGAAAACCAACAAATAGAGAGTGCACCGCTACGCGGCCGCTCGCGCAACGTCTGCGTTCTCGCAACAAACGCGAAATAAAGCGGGATTAGTCATATTCGTCTTTATCAACGTCCTAAATCTCTGCCCCTCCGTCACGCGTATTTTAAATGGTGCAACATAATACAATTAAAAACAAGAGAAAGAGAGAGCGCGAAAGGGGTAAGGAATGAGGAAAATATCGATCGAAATGTAGACTTTCCATAGTCGATCTTCCTCATTGACTCTCGGAGAGGAACTCTGCCGCACTTTCTTTCTCACTCACTTCCGCACTTTCGCGAGGATATAACCGCGATTACGCGCGAGTACGCGTCGGGAGCGTGCGCAACGCGATCGCGACACACGGGTCTCCGCGATTGAGGCGAGACGAGACGAGGAAATCGAGGAATCGCGATCGCGAACGGGTTCGCGGAATTCGGGGAGATAGAACGGGTCACACTTGTCGCGTGCCTCGTCGCCGTCGCCGTCGGCGACGTAATCGAGACACACGTCGTGGCGCCGCGTACGCCGCACCGCCGCCGCGGTTTCGTCAGTCAGCTAACCTAGCCGCACGCCAAGTGTAACGAGGATTCTACTTACTTCCGGCGTTCTCGCGAAGCGGAGCGCCGTTCCCCTCCCGCGCCAGCCCGCCGACGCTCGGAGCGTTGCGTTAACTGCAGGCGGTACTTGGCGGTAGAGCCACGCGACGGCGACGATTTACGCGTGCCACGCGCAAAGGGAAAGAGAGAGCGAGAGAGAGAGAGAAAGACGCGTCAACGGACGCTCGAGAGAGAGAGAGAAAGACCGCGGGCGTAGGGCAGAAAAAGGGGAGAGAAAGAGAGGCTTACGTTGAAAATAATCCGTCGCACCTTCCGCGCGACGTTCTCGCCTCCTGGTGGTAGTGGTGATGGTGGTGGTGCGCCGCTTCCTCACGGCGGCATCGTCCGCGAGCGACGGCCGGCCGTGAATGGGAATCCGAGAGTCGCCGGCGATCGTCCCTCCTCCCTCCCTCCCCCTCGTCCGGACGGGGGAAAAACGAGCGAAAATCGATTGTTTCCCGCCGTCGGCGGCGCAACGGAGGGAACGGTAACGCAACGGGTGAACGCGGGTGAGCCCCTCGCACAGCGGGCGACGACGCGACTTCGCACTCCTCGTCCGCTCGGCCCGGCGAGCGGCGCGTCCGCTCGGTCCACCCGGGATAACGCGCTCGGACGCGCGCGGCGGTCGCCACGGAACGGCACAGTCGCACAGGTCACACACTCGTCGTCGTCACACACCGCCGTCTTACTCGCGAGCGCGGCGCGCGCGCGCTCCGCGCATTATCGCCTTATCGCGCGCCACGAATTTCGCGTCACGAACGCCCGACCCGGTTGCACGGACGAATGTGACGGACGACGCGCCTAGCAGACGACATTTTGCCTGAGCGCGCGAGCCCGACCGAGGCCGCGCCGGAAACGCACGAGCGGCGAACGTTGAGGGGCGGCCCACCAACGTGCCGCGAACATTCAATTTCGAATCGTCCGCCGTGCGCGATGTTTCGATCGATACTTCAGAGCCCACCTTGGACGAGCCGCGATTCGCGTCAAACTTCAGGAGCCTGTTCATGAATATACGTTGTATTTTAATGAGCGTATTTTTATTTGATGTGTTTCGTTCTGTTTATCTATTTCTGTCTATTTTTATTCTAATTATACTTTATTCTAGTCTATAAATAACACGACGATATATCAATTGAGATGCCATTTAATAATATTTTATTTTGTATTTTGTATTCTGTACTTTTTGCATTATGGCAGATCCCGTGGTCTTGTTCTCTATAAGTAATATGACAAGAAATAAACTGGAATTGCTACTTAAACCTACTTACGATAAATTTATTTCAAGCGACACGAGTTTCTTATCAGCTCTTTCATTGCAATGTCGAAAACTCGCCTCGGCGTCTCGCCCTCAGCAGAAAAGAAATCGCGGCACGCTCGTTGAAACGCTCCTCTCGCGGTACTCCTTCGCTTCAAGTTCAAGTCGGTCACGCATACATTGCGCGAGAACTAGTTTTTGGAATTAATATGCGCGTCGCGCGTAACCGGCGCGGCGATTAGCTTTAACGCCTTCAGCCTCTCTCTCGCGGCTCTTGTGACGTCACGAGTCTACACGGTAGCGTTAAAGCAAATCCCTGTTGACCGAAGTGCCGAAGTATACGGCGAAGTCCTTCGAGCCGCGCGATGGAAGATTAGGCGATCTTTCATTAATGCCTCCATCTCCTTTTAGACAACCGCTCTTAATTTTCTGATAAATATCTTATCGCGAATACGATTCCAGGAGAATGTAATTTCGGTAACACAATTTTCCTTGCAGAGAGAGAGAGAGAGAGAGAGAAGGAGAGCCCGAACAGTAGAACTCGATTCTCAAGGCAGAGAACACTGTCTATTCTTAATGATTCTCATATATGAGATTCTTTATCCTCATCTGAGAGATTTATAAAAAATGAAAATGATTAATTAGAATTCTGCGTATTATAATT